GGGGGAGAGAACCGAACCACCGCAAATATTATTGCGGACCGCACGGTGTGAGCAGTTTGGGCCCCAGCATAATACGAGTGACAGCAGGGTGCGACAAAATGCTAATGGGGGAGCAGCAGGGAATTCCTCATCATCGTGAGGTGGCATAGAGATGGCGCATGTGGCGACGGGGCCGCGTGTTGTGACGGCGGTGACGGGGGCTAACGACATACCGGCAGGTGACCGGCAGGTGACAGGTCATGCCGGCAGGTGCGTTGACCGGAGGAGACGGCCTGTCTATCTGCGCCTCTCCTCCATCCCCCCTCTCACTCTTCGGACTCTCTCTCTCTCTCTCTCTCTCTCTCTCTCTCTCTCTCTCTCTCTCCCCTCCCCCCCTCTCCCTCATCCGCTTTGTACTCGGATCCACGACAGCGCAGTTTCGCACTTCAGTTAGGTGCTCTCCCGCTGCTCTGCCCCGGGGTCGTCGCAGACAGTTTTGTCTTTGTAATAAAACCACATGAATTTTAAAGCCCATACCATTACTCTAGTGAAGAATGCAGATTAATGCAGTGAAAAGTAAAAACAAAAATAGTAAAAGCAGGCATTAACTTAACTATCAACCGTGGCGACAGTGCACGGGTCGGGTCGGCGGCGCGGTCGGTCAGCCAGACGATGACCTCTCCCTGCTGCACTTTCAGTTTCTGCTCGACCGTCCGCGACATTCCGCGCACCTTGCCACCTCCACGCGCGCGGACACGTTGCCACCCGACACCAGACACAGCCGTGCGCGCGCGTGTGAGTGTGTGTGTGTGGTGGTCTCTGTCTGTGTCCCACCACGGCCGATCTCACTCAGGCGCCTCTCTCTCTGATCCGCGGCTAGCGTAGAGAGGCCGTTGCCACCAGCGCGCGCGCGCGCTTTGTGTATGTATGTGTGTTTGTATGAATGCTGCGAGGAAAATGATTTTGTCTGTTGGCTAAAAATGCCCCCCAAAAGCACGAAATTAGTTTTCAGTTCAGACGACATATTTCTTTGCTGGTAATGTTAATGGTAAGGCCACATCAGCGGCCGGTGCCGGTGGCCTCCTGAGAGACAAATCGAGTGCGAGCAGGACCCTCTCCCTTCCCCTTCACCAGGAGAGCCCCCCCCCCCCTCTTACCCACCATAAAGAGGGAGTGGAAAGTCAAGGATACGCAGCGTTACGGCGATCTATCACGGTAAGACAACGAGAGTGGCAACACGCACCTGGTAAATGGAGAGGGGAAAGAGGGGGCTCTGGAAGTGGGCGAGTGCTCTGAACGAAAGGATGACACGAGAAACATCATTACTCCAGTTGCAAGATGCAAGAAAAGCAAAAGAAAAGAGGGTTGAGTGCGAGAAAGAGGGAGGAAAGGGGGTGGGGGGAGAGGGGCACGTTTGTTTGACTGCATGACGTAACTAAGCAACCTGGTGGGCCAACGAGTGGCCGAGACGGAGCCCATTGTGGTCGAAGTGCGGTGCGGTCGGCCGTGTCGGAGAGGGGAGAGGATGAGGAGAGAGAGAGAGAGAGAGAGAGAGGAAGAGGGTGGTGAAAGAGAGGGGGAGAGAGAGAGAGAAGGGCGGGTGCGGGTCAGAGGAGATGGAGAGGTCTCGAGGTGCCGCCGGGTCGTTGCGCCCTCCTGCGGCCGCAGCCCGCTCCAGCCAGGACAGCATCACAATCGAGACGGGACCCGGCCAAGTAAAAACTTATTATGCAGCATATAATGCAGCCCTATTTTCGAACGGTGAAACTGACAAAACACGCCCAAGTTAAAATCACTATTGTTGAACACTGGCAAGGGAAGCAAGCCCAGCCACTCCTCAGGTAGGACGGAAAGGGCACAACAGTTGAGTCCAACAGTTGATAACATAAGGCAACAATCATAAACATCTTAGGATTTTCTCTCGACCACCTGGATGTCCACATCGACATCACAACGTTTGGTACCATTGCTCAGCTATCCTTAAAGTTTTCAGAACGATTCTTTTCATTCGCGGCTTTCCTGCTTTAGTCGCGGCGCGCGCGATTGCCTCTGATTGAGTGCCGCCTGAACAGGTCGGAGGAAGGTGTCATCACAGCGACAAACACTCTGGCCTTGCGCGGTCACAAACTAGAACAGCCACAGCAGCGGCGCTGCGCATAGCGCACTGAGCTCGCGGGCGTCAGGACCGTCAGGACACACCGTCAGTCAGGACGGTGTCGGGCGCCGCCGTCAGGCTCCGTCACGCGCGCTCACATTTTTAATTATACCTCCCTGTTGCACCTCACGTCTTCTTCTACCTCACTCTGCTACTATACTCTACCTCCCCCCACCCCTCCCCTCCCTCACTCGATGTTCAACATGGTTTCGCAAAACGCAGTGGTCCAGAGAGCTGGTGAGGCCGTTCCGACTGCTATTAATTACCTCCGCTACTGCCGCTATGCCGTTTCTAATCATGGCGGCGCGACGATGGCGCCCCTGACTGCCCCTGCCCGCTCTCTGTGAGTCCAACGCGCGCCCCTGACCTGTATGACCCCTCCTCCCCTTTGCCCCTGACTACCGCGGCCCGGGCGGGCGCGGCCTCACTCTCCAGAAGTGTGTCACACCCCGACATTCAAAACTACTCGGCAGAATGTCGCACATACACAAAAGAGTGTGTGCGACTATGGTGAATGCATAGAAAAGTATGTGACGTCCGTGACGCTCACAGAAAAGCACTCCACCAAGGGGATAACAATACAACGTAAGTACTTACTTCCGCGGGACCGGAACAAGTCGGAACAAAACACATTGGTCGTGTATTTTAGTGCGAAAAGATGTGCGCGGCACGAACTGCAATTACTCCTCGTCTTTCTCTTCTCAGCGGCGCCAAAGTTACGCATCGAGGGCGTGTAATCGGCCTCCTTATCGTAAAGTGGGGCCCCCGGGGCGCCGCCGCCGGCCGCGGGGCGGGGGCGGCTCCCGCCCGTGACTCACCCCATTGCACCGAGAGCCTACTCACTGTGCCCCCCCCCCTCCCCTTATTCCCCCCTTCTCTCCTATCGGCACATCCTCTCCTTTGGCAGCAACTGCTACTGTGCACGGCAAAAAAAAAACGAGTCTGGTCTACACAACGACGCGGTTGTCCAGGAACATGCAAATAGGCACTTTCGTTTGTTTCCTGATATCACGGCCGTGCACTTTGCTTTCCCCCTCGCAACTGGCACGGCACGGCGCTGGTCTCGACAGCAGCATATCCAGATTCAGCGCACGCGTTCGCACGCGTTCGCACTTTGGCACTTGGCAAAATAAGTAAAAACTCTTGTGCAATTATTTGAAAAGGTACTTAACGAACATGTAAGTTCTTTTGAGCTGGTCGTTGTGTGACTCAAAGGCAGTGAATGTGTCGCAGGTTTGGAAAACAAACACAAAAGGGAGGAACAGAACTCACTGTATATTGGAAAGGACATAGAAATGTACCTCTGAGAGTCTTTCGATACACGACAGGGGTGAAATTCTGCTAGTACCAGGCAGATCTGATTTTGACACCTGCAGCAGTACAGCAGCCCCACCTCCTGCCGGGTCATTGGGCAACCATGACCAGCAGGGGGCCGGGGTGCAGGCGAGTGGGCGAGGGTCTGAGCTAGTGCTCCAAGCAAAACTGCAGTTGCTCAAGGGACTACTACCTGAGTCCCGAGGTCCCATAGTCAATATTATTTTAATTTTAGAAAACAGATTGCTGTTTTTGAAACGCCCCCCCCCCCCCCCTTCTCACCAACTTCAGCGAATGTGCAATAACTAAAACAACGAATACTGTTCGTTACTTTTACCATCAGCTTCTTCAGTGTTTTGATCGATGCTCCGACTTGGAACAATATCCTGCTTGTCCTTTTTTTTTTTTTGGCTGGGGGTGCTGCGACGCGGCACCGCCGCCACAGTCGGGAACTAGGCTGGGCTTTTATCGCTGAGCTGATAACTCCCTTTCCCTGTCACTACAGCAGTGTCGGCTCAGCCCGTGGGCCAGGGCCCAGGCCGTCAAATTGATATTGAGATAAGTGATGGAAGGTCCAGCCAACAGTTATGGTAGATGTCGTTCTCAACCAATCGCGTTATCAATTAAAAGAGAAATACGACGCAAAACCGTTTACTGCCATAACGTTGCATGAGAAAATTTTCGCGTAATTCCAAGTGATGGAAAATATCAGATACATACAGACACTGTGTTAGATTGTTTAGAGAAGCATAAGAGAAAAGCACGAAACAAAATAATAACTACCTGCCGGGTGGTCGCTGATCGTCGTTGAAAACAGTCTACACCTTGGCCTTCCAGTTCATGTCAGATGGACCTGAGGAACAAAACAAAGGAAAATATTTATGAGTTTTAAGAAAAATCACGGTGTAATAATCTCTGGCACTGTTTACATTGATACAGTAACGTGACTGCGTGATTTGCACACCGACGAGTTGCTTGATTTCTACCGTAAACGCTTCGTTTGTGTATTTTGAAGTGCAATATGCCGGAGGAGATACGTTTTGCGCGGCAGAGTCGTGAAAATGTGTCAACGGCTCCATTGGCACCTGCTCGTCCTGGTGCTAACGCGCAGCACTGCGGCATGCGCGAGCTCTCCTGTGGTGTGTCAGAGAACAGGGGAGAAGGGGGAGCCTTATTGGCAAATCTTGCCACCTTAATAGAGAAATCACAGTCATCCTTCTCGGAAAAATTGGAACACTCATTGGCTGCACTATACGCAGCTAGTTCCAATTCCAAGGAGAAAAGTCTGCGTCAAAATTTTGAATTAATTTTATGTTTCTTTCTGTCACTCTTTGATATAGAAGAGTATACGTCGGTAACGCTTTCAATAGGAGTGGAGTTAGATCCCAAAAATAGGGTGCCCGCCCCCACAACAATCTAAAATCCGTGCTGCAACATGGTCACTGCATCTCTCCCACTCCTTTGCAGGCAAGAGGACACGAACACCGCAGGTGTCGGTGCACACACACACGCACACGTTGGTGTGACGTAAGGCTGCTGTTACATCAATACCCGCAAGTTCGACAGGCCCAGCAGCCCACCACCGGCGAGCCAATGCGAGCTCTGGCTGGTTATCCGTTCAGTTGGTCGCATTTTTATTCCTTTTGGCTTCGGTAAGGCAACGGGGAGTGTGCGGTGTTTGTGATGAAAACCGCCCCCCCCCCCCCCCCGTCCATGCCATCAAGATTGAACGGTTCGTACGGGCCGGCGGGCACGCCCAGCACCACAGGGGCATGGCCGGGGTACGGCTGGGGCCAGCTGAATAATCACCTGTACGACAAAGCGGTTCTCCAACCAAATCTACTACACGATATGTGGGTTGTATAAAGAGCGTGCGATTTCATAAAAGATTGGCCCTTAAGGTCAGTTGAGAAGAAGAAGGAGAAGAACGCAGGTTGACTTGTGGCACACACAACAGCTACTACAAACAAATCTAGCAATTTCGACTAAATGCCAAATATAAAGAATCATTTTGACAAGGCCGTGGTTCTGCTAGAGCTTGCTGGAGCGGCGACACATAAAGGCCAGCAATGCAATGCAGTGGAATGGGCAGAGAGCTCATGACAGAGCCAAGGCCTCCGCAGCCCTCCCGCCTCGCAGCCAGCCCGAGCCTCACCTCGACTTGCCAATACCAGGCCAACATTTGTAATTGTCTATGGCAGGGCAGCTGGAGCTGGACGGGTCGCGGCTGGGCCGGCGGTGCGTTGGTTCGGGACCGCGTGTTCTACGCACCGCCGCCGCCACGCCCCGTCCCGCCCGACTCCGCCCGAGAAAACCTGCACATGTGTCGACCCTTTATTTAAAGCCTTCTTGCGAGGCGCAAAGTAGAAATGTATCGTAACAAGACGAGACAATCACCCACCACCAACCACTCTTCCCCTCCCAAAAAATAAAGCTGGCCTGCTCAATTTCAACGAGCAGCACAAAGGGTTTCTTTAGTATTTTATTAAAGAAGGCCCTATACGTGAGCAGAGTATAGAGGCGCAGCTGGTGAAACTGCAGGCGCATAAATAGAGTGCAGGTACTGTATACGGTAAGTGCGCAGAGATGTGCGGCTCTCGGAGGAAAGTTTTTGATGGATGGTCCACGCTGCATCCTGGTGGTGGCGTCGTGTTGCAGCTCGAGGCGGAGGGGAGACACTCGGCTGCTCTAGGCACTGCACGTTAAATACTGTTTAGATTACCGTCAAGTTTGAACAACAACGCTTCATACGCTTCATTGAACACGCAAATCTGGCTCTGCCAGAAATACCGTAGAAACCAAACATGTCTTCGAGGGTTCGTTTAAAAGTACGACTTGCAACTAAATAAATTTACCCAGAAGCGAACATTCCAACAATTGCAATTATTTCAAAGAAAAATTTATTACCAAAAGGGGACCGTGAGTGTATCGCTTTTCCTCTGTTATGGATCGTATTACACCAACAACAACAGCAGGCGTTTTGCAGACGTGACATGGAAACGCTTGCGTTTTGTGTTTTTTCCGTGTGTGGCGCGCGGCGGCGGGGCTTGCAGCCCGCCTGGCTGCCTGCGCACTTTCTCCTCGGGTGCAACGTACGGGCGCGAGGGTGAGGAGGGGGGAGGGGAGCACGGCCGCGGCGGCACAGGTCCCGGGCGCGGCGTCCTGGGCGCAGCCAGCAGTCACCTGCCCAGTGCCTCCTCGCCGAGCTCCTCGCGGACCGGTTCCCATCATCACACACATACCAGGACGACCTGGCCTATTTCGACGCTGCTGCGCCCTCCGGAGCCGGGGGCCCAGCCCGATCCAGTCGTCCTCAGAATCCCTGCTGGCCGCGGTTGGAGGTCCTTGGGCCTGCCGATATGCGAGAATGACAGAGAGAGAGAGAGAGAGAGAGAGAGAGAGAGAG